AAAAATACATTTTAGGACAATTATTGCCTTTTAATAACGTGTTTTTTTTAATATTCAAACGAGAAATCTACCTATCCATGTCGGGTATGGCCGAATGGCGCTTTTTTTAATTCATTTTTTCGATATTTATATTATTTGATGCGATTTCTAATGGTATTGTTGTTACCAAAGCATTAAAATTACTAAAATATGCAGTGTAAGTTCGTGTTTCAACACTATCTAAATATCTTGTAAAAATAGCATCTATTGTCATTTCTGAATTTCTAGTTCGTGTGTTTGGATTATTATGCATCAATTATTGATGTATTGCCATCTAAAGTTCTAATATTTATTTACTAAACGAATACACCAACTAATAGCGTATATTTTGTCTCAATCTCTCAATCTTTCTCACTAGCTCTCTCCCACCTCTCGCTCCATGGCACGGTGCGTGATGCAAAGTTCACTCTATCTCACTCTCTCTCTCTCTCTCGATCTTTCTCACTCACTTGCTCCCTCCTCTCGCTCCATGGTTATGTGCTTCATGCTACGTTCGCCCTGTCTCACTCTCTCTCAATCGGTCTCGATCGCTCTCTCCCTCTTCTTCGACAAAAACGCTGCACATCTTCGTGACGCTAATATTATTAATATTGCCTTTCATCTGTGAAAATTTTACCCTCATGCGCCTAAAGAAGTTTCACTTCAAAAAGCGAAAACTACCGGACGTTAGTAGAAGAATTGGTGGCAAATTAAAAAAATTTACGTTGCTTAATCAACCTCAAACTACACTTCATCAATTTTCACGTCGACCTCTCTCCTTAGAAGTCTTGGAGACTATAGCGAAGAACAAGGAAAATGATTTTATCAAGACAGTGAAATGAAGGGTAGGTATCGAGTAAATTAGAATGGCAACGTGATGTCAGATTTTTACTGTATGTTAACAAGAGAAATACCAGAAAAAAACAGGTTATGTGAAGATGAAAAAATTCGATACAAAAGAACGACAGTCTGAAATTTGAAAATATGGTTTCGTACATTCTGCTTACATGTTTTTTATTACAGATTTTAAAATTTTGTCAACTTTTCAATTCTAATATCATATTCCATCCATAAAAATGCACCTAAGTCATTAACAATTGGGTTTAATAGATTTTTGCTCATATTTATAACTGTAATTTTCCCGATTTTTTTGCTTTTTGAGATATTTTTTAATTTTAGATTTTTAATGTAACAAGATTCAGATTCAAATTCAGTGGCACAGAAAACAATAAAATCGTACTCAATCTGAATCCAAAAAATTTGTTTTATCTCGATAATTTCGATTTTTCATGATTTATGGCAATTTTTTAGGGTTTTTTGCTATTTTTTCAAATTTTGAAGGCTCAACGGGCTGATTCATGTTCAGATTCAGATTCAGTGAATTGAAATACATGAAAATCATACTCGATCTGGGTCCACAAGATTATGTTCATCGCTGTGACTGCAGTTTTTCGCATTTTTGCCTTATTTTGGGTTTTCTGGATTTAACTTAAAATTTTGAGGGTGTACGGGCAAAATTGACTTCAGATTCGGATTCAGTGCGTCAAAATACATAAAGATACGTAGGTCTGGTCAAAAGTACAGACAACTTTTTTTTTGTGTTCTGTCGTGATATAAATAATAATAACAGTTAAGAAGTTAGTTTTGAACTATTGAACGCTGAAGACTAAACGATGCCAAATTAATAATTTAATTTATATTTTTGATACAATACGATTGAAGCAATTAGAATAAAATGCTTTATTTACACGGGAAAAAATTTCTGGGAAAATTTACGATACAACTATTGTAAAGCTGGACTATACCTTTATTACTATTAATTATCAAATATTTTGGAAGAGAAAATACTATTTGTTAATGAAAAAATACGATATTACTATTGTAAAAAGTAAGCGATGAAAATTTCCAGTGCTGCCTCTGTATCTTTCCAATAGAACTATAGCAAATTTTTCAATAGTTGAATTGGAATGTCTCTCAATAAGTGTGAGTGATGGCCGTGCACAGCGCTAGACTCTGAGTTTATATAAATGTTAAAGGACATGGGTCTTAGTTTACCGCGGATAGCCTAAAGGGAGAGTCTCTAGCTACCAACACCGAGTTCTGGGTTCGATTCCCAGATAGCACGAAAATATTTGTTTCTTTTTTCGATTACTGTACAGGTACCAATTCGTGCAACCTTCTATCTCTCTCTCTCCCTAATATCCCATAATAAAATTGAGATGAAATGTATGTGAAACCAATTTATTCGTTATGTGATTGGTCGAAAATAAATATTCTCATTCTGATTGGTTGAAAGTGAATATAATATACATAAACGACACATAAATATATCATGACATTAAATATGACGCGCGCGAAAATTAAATTCTAGTCCTAATATAAAATTGAGATGAAATGTATGTGGCATCAAACTATTCTTAACGTGTTTGGTCGAATATATCATAAGCATGAAAATATATGCAAACTCTATAGTCAAGGCGCGCGCTTGCGCGCGAAAATTAAATTCTAGTTTCTTTTAAAAAAACCAACTGTGAATTTTTACAATAGTTGAATTGTAAAGTTCACAAACACATATTGTATAATTCGCTCTATAGTATTCGACTTTTTAAAACTCTTGCTAGTCTTATTTGTTGGATAAAATTTACAATAGTAGATCATAAAAATTATTAAATGAGAAGTATAGTCCACCGTTACTATTTTATTTAGTAAAAATTACAATAGTAAAATAGTAATAACTCCTTCAATTTTCTTCCCGTGTACTTAACGTGCTAATGGTAGCATTATTCTAATAATTGTTTATTTATAAGTAACAACGTTTGACTTTTTAAAAGTATTACATAAAAATAATAGATAAACAAATTTATTCGATATTACTTGAAATAAAATAAAATCTAAAGTACAATCATATGATTTCTATTGCAATATTAACGTTTAATAAATTAATAAATAGTAAAAAAAAATGGATGCGTGTACTTATGTACGCGCGTGAGAAGTTATACTTCTTTGGCATCATTAAAAAATAGTTTTTGATTGCATGCAAATAATTAATTACAATAAAATTTTAGAAGGATTGGAAAAGGATAATCAACAAAGTTCAGTTTAAATTTGAAAAATTAAATAAATAAATATTTATTTTCTTACATTAAGTCTAACATAAATTGTCTTATTATTCGAATTGTATTTTTAATTAAATGATGTCCACTTCCATAGTATCTTCCGGTAATGTCTGAATCGGAACTTCAGTTATCAGTGGCTTATGATAACTAAAATATGACACGAAAAGTTTTGTATTAACAGCGTTGAGATATCGTACAAATACAGCATCTATGGTAGTGCCATGTCGTGTTGTCGAAATACATATATATGTCGGAGATAATATCGAGCTGGGTTTTCCCAGAAATAGGAAATTCCCAATATTTCAGTTTGTCTGTTAGTTTTAAGCAAAATTGTAAAGCATAGAATATTTAATAATTATTTATAACTTAAGCCGATTATAATTTTTATGGTTATGGCGATGGGCTTGAGTCCGGAGTGACAATGGTCACCAAACGTAGCCGAGGTCACAGGATAGAAGTAAAAAGTATACAGTTAAAGATATCGACAGACAATGAGGGCTGTCGAAATATTTTAGAGAGAAGTACTTAGGGTACTTAGACAGTTAGTTCTCGTTGAGCATTGATCAAGTAAAGATCGCATACATCCTGCTGACCCCGGATTCGTTCTCGGTCTTATTCCTCAGCGCTTTTACCTTGTATATTAATTATATTCGGTTAATTAATCGTAATATTGTTTATACAAGTTGGCGTACATTTAATTTCAAAATTTATATCAGTGTCATAGTTTAATTATTCTAAATTGATAAATAATTGAATAAACGAATCCAACGGACTGTACTAACGCCCCTAATAATGCTTTTCCGACATATATATATATATATATATATATATATATATATATATATATATATATATATATATATATATACACAATTATTAAAAACAAAATTTATGGAATAATAAATATATAAGACATAATTTGTACTAGATATTATAAGATTCTTAATTTTAAATGTTTACTATTGATTATTTAATATTTTAAAAATAAATTTAATAATAAATTCAAAAATTGAATTTCAGGTTGGTCATTTTTTTAATATTTTTATTGATTTCTTAATTTAATAATTACTTTTCATTTTTATCAAAAAATTTTCATTAAATTTATTTCTTTATTTTGTAAATATTAAATAACCAATAATAAGTATTTAACATTAATAATTTAATAATATTTAGTGTTAATTATATTAAATAAACGTATTTTAATTTATATCAATAAATAATACATACGGATAGTTAACCTCAATTATATTGGAGCACTTGAAAAAGTATATAAGCACAATTTTTTCACTAATATTCACAAATAGTAAGTAATATCAATCAAAATATTCAATTTAAATCACTACTGAATATAATTTATTAGCACATATATAATTCGCACTTGTATGAAACTAAAACACGTGTTGTGAATGTATAAACTAGAAACATGTTGATAAATATTATAAATATGAAAACAGTGATCAGAGGTGACGAGCGTACCAACATGCGTGACTAATATCGAGGTTCAATTTCTATTTTGTTGGTAGCTTTTTTTTCGAGACTTAATGAGCGGTTAAGCAGACAGCTTCATACTGTTAATTTTGTGTCACAGATGCGCGTGCATCTTAAAATTTCACTCTCATCATTTTTTCATAACGCGCCTAAAGAAGTATAACTTCAAAAAAATATTGATGTTTATTCGTTACCCTGAATATTTCAGTAACCATGCTTACGAAAATTATTTTTGATTTTCATTAAATCTGAACTATCCCATAGATTTAAGTATAAAATTAAATGACTTCTAAAATTTCAAAACATATTCGCTTAATGTCAGTGTTGTACTGTATGCATTCGATAATTTTCCGGTAAACGCGAAAATTTCACGGCGCTATGTTGATCAGACGGGCTATAATCTCTAAGAATACTGACGGTAAAGTAAGGGACGAACTCGATTTAATATCGGCGTTACGCGCCTCGTCGTTGTTAATTTCCTCTTACTTCAGAAACACTATAATTTGAGTTTTTTTATAATTAAAATGTGGTTCTGTCCGTTTTCTTACAGATGATGACTTAATAGATGAGAATAGGCCGCGTGATGGTCGTCGAGGACCAAAACGACCACGAACTATATTAACATCAACACAACGACGTCAGTTTAAGGCTTCATTCGAGCTATCTCCAAAACCATGCAGAAAAGTCCGGGAAGCTCTTGCTAAAGACACAGGTCTCAGTGTTCGAGTGGTTCAAGTCTGGTTCCAAAATCAGCGAGCTAAAATGAAAAAACTTCAAAGGAAAGCAAAACCCGATTCTGGCATTGACAAAGAATCCAAAGAAGATCGCAGAACAGATAGTCCACACAGTGACCATAGTAAGTCATATTTATACTTTTAAATCGGTGTACACTGCCAGTACAATCGAAAAGTTCGGTAAATCCTAATGTGCATGCCTTAAGCGTTTATACTTTCAATTTTCCGATAATTTTTCATTAAACGTAGAAAAAACAACAAATATTCACTGGACGCTTTATACACAAATTAAAAAGATCAGTACAATACTGGATTAATTAAGAATTTGTCATGAGAAATTGATTTTATTTATATTTCAATTCAAAGTTCATTCAAATTTTTTCGTTAATCCTATTTATTTTAATACTAATCCAACGCCTATTTGCGATTGAAGTTAATCTTAAAAAGATAAAAAATCAATAGAGAAGTACATCACCTGCGGTCATTAAGAAAAATTTCAATCAGTTCAAGAATTATTTTTCTTTATGAAAGTGGGCTTTTTAAATCTTATGGACCACACGGGGTAACTAGTTGCCCCAGGCTTAGAAAAGTCGAGAATTGAGGCCTAAAACATATAAAATCAATACAAGTTTCGACTTCTGCCTGTAGTAGACAAATTTGAGCTTCGATTCTATTACAGAAAAATCCGAAAAAATGGGTAACAGCGCTTTTAGCGCTTTTGCTATCAGCATGGGGTAAATTAATGAACCTGAAGTTCCGAATGTTCGATGCCAACGAATTTTCAATTTCCTTGAAAGCAGAAAAACATATTGTTAACAGCAAAATAAGGTACTAAAAGTATGAAAAATTAAATAAAAACTTCCTCTGGATACCGGAGGCCAAGTCCCACCCTCACAAGTCAAGGCTTCATGTTAAAAAATCCAAAAAAATTACTTGAACGCTTTTGTTTAGTCCTAAAAAATTCTCTCGTATATAATACAATTTTACAAGGATAGAAATAAATCCCGGTTGACCTCCGCAAACCGGAACCTCGTCAATCCACCGTTGCATGTGAAAAACAAAATTAAAAACTAAAAAAAATTTCTTGTACGCTTTTGTTTACTCCAAAAACATTTTAAAGTATTTTATATACTTGTCCAAGCTCAGAAAAAAATTGCCTCAGTACAAAAGTTGACCGTGATTTTTTTCCACGTCTATATAAGTGCAGTAGATATTCCAGAATTTTTTTGGAGTGAACAGAGGCGTTTAAGTAATTATGTTGAATTTTTAAATTTCATTATTGACATCCGAGGGTGGATTGAAAAGGTTCCAGAGTACGAAGGGTGACCGTGATTTTTATCTAAACTTGTACAAGTGTGTATTAAACTGTTTAGAATTTTTTTGAAGTAAACAAAAGCGTACAAATAATTTTTTGTTAATTTATAAATTTCACCAATAACCCGCGAGTTTGGAATAAAAAAATTCCGGAGTAGGGAGGGTGCCCGTAATTATTACACACTTTTTATTAGCTTCACCTTTATGTATGTTTGTTTGTAATAACCAACTCTTTTGGGCGCGAATTTGACCGACTTTGAACGGCCGAATTTCGTTCAAACTTTGTAGATTATCGAGGACCGATGATAATACACTATGCAACGGTTTTGTTAACTGTTCATTTGGCCCCTAAAATTAAATTGATTTAAATATTAAACTAAACAAACTAAACTAAATTAATAAATAAAAGGACGCCACCAGGATTTTTAATCACGGTTCCTGGAACTGGAACCAGAGCTGAGCTTATTATCTACAGGGAGAGAGAGTGAAGGAAGGTGATCTGAAATAAATAAATTTTTATTTAACAATGGATCCAAAAATTTTATTAACAAAACAATTTTAACAACCTTGATTATAAACTAACTCACTTACACTCTAATCAACTTATAAACTAACGAAGCGGAGAAATAACTGCAAGACAAACAATATTTACAATGATACCTTTCCAAACGACGATTCGATGACTAGCTGGGATGTTCTAACGGACGGTCTCCCACAACCTGATTAATCTAGTTGGGCTTTTTCTAACGAACGACCTCCCACACCTGACTAAAACTATTTGGGCTTTTTCAGAACGAACCGTCTCCTACACCTAACTAAAACTAATGGTCTTTTTCAGAACGGACGGTCTCCCACACCTGACTAAAACTAAACTTGAAATTACAAGTCAACAGAACAACTGAACCACAACTGACTCCACACACTTTTATAAAATATCAAAAGTCTTAATCCTGCAGTCCCCTCATAGTGAGCATCTATACTGCAGTTTCTAACTACGTCGCGCTGTCCACCAGACCCTCACGCTCTAAGATACTGTTAACACCCTCTATCACACATGACCCGCACGATCCTCACACACATAACCTGCACTCACCCACACTCTGAATTTACTTTTATTTATAAAAATATCACAAAATTTAATTCCAAAAATTAATTACATTAATTTTTACTTAAATTATTTCAGTCATTAGCCAATAATTAAGACACAATGTTTCTGAACTAAAAAAATTCCAAATGTCCGAACTAAAACCGACGCTTAAATTTTATTCCAAATTAACCACGACTTAATACTCAACACTGAAAAAAAAAAACTTTCAGTAAGAAAATTTTCTTGATATAAGAATTTATTTTATTGCTTTGAGATCCTTATAATAATATATTTAATCAGACTTGAGAGGATGTAGGATCATAATAAAACGCTAAAAAACTTTACTATTTAGCGACGTTTCGTGCACTTTATTTGCACCTCCTCAGGCTATTCGCAGATACAAAACATTACATACAATTAATCAACACAGTTCAATAACATGTAAATATAAACATACGTCACGATGACAAAACATACCATAATATACATCTTAGCATCGTCAATCTAATATTACATTTGTAACAAAACTGTTCCCCAAAATTTAACAAAATTCGCCCAGAGGTGGAAGTACCGGCTGGGTAAAGTCTCTTACGCTCACCCTTTTTAATGAATAATAAAATTAACCCGAAAACTCCTCAGACTGGGTTAGTGCACGATAGGACGCCAGGTAATTTTATCTAAAAATTACCAAAAATTACTCAAAATTCCAGGCGCCGCGCCGGACGATCAATTAACGATTTGAATTGATGCGAATGGAAAATAAACCACGAAATAATTAAAGTCAAGATTAGTATATAATTTATAATCAGAAATAATAAATAATTAATTATAAAATAGTATTCCAAATTACTTAATTAAGATAGGAAGATGAGTCATAGGAAAAGAATCCGGGAAGCAACTTACATAAATTAAACAATTACTAAATCAGCAAGAATAAAAATAAACAAACAATTTATTTAAAAGAAGTAACTTAAAACTATAGTATATTACACACCGAGGGAAGTAAAGTAAGAAATGTCTCAGATCACATGTAATTGTTGGCCGAGGCGAAGCCGAGGTCAACAAACATGTGATCTGAGGCTTTCTTATTTACTTCCCGAGGAGTGTATGCTATTTTTTTGCTCGACGAAAGAAGAAAGTGGCAATTTCGTTTAGTGCAGCGGGCCGAAAATTGACGCTTTCTTTGGCCTTCATCAGGCGTCTAAAACATACATAAAAATAACAACAATTATACAAATATACAAAATCCTACCACATTCAGTATAACAAGTCCATACAATTATGTAATATAAATATACCTCAATTCATACGCGAAACAATATAAAACTTATTATATCCATCCCTTAGCTCACTCAACATAATTAACAAAACTCATTAATTTTATTAATTAAATGAATAAAACCAATTAGCAGACCACTCGTACATGTAAAAAAACAGTAGACAACTACTCCAAACCCAACTGTAAGTCAGCTAGGCGAGCGGAGCACCACTAGTTCGCCAACCTACCGCCGCGGAAGTACAAATCAAGTCAAAAACAAATTGAAATTAAACTCAGTCAGGAAATATAATTTTTATATGTCGATAAAATTTCATTATATATTGCACTCAGGTTTTGGGTATCCGTACGCTTGTTGACCGTATCATTAAGCTTAATCCACACCATCTCACTCACAGACCTTTTGTGCCAGTTGTTTTCTAAGTCCAAGATTTTAACCTCATCAAACTTAAACCTATGACCCGAGTCGAAATAATGCAAAGCCAACGCCGTTTTATTGTTATCCAAGATCTTTACATCCGGACAACTGTTTTCATGTTGCTGAATTCTATTTTTCGAATATTGTTTGGTTTGTCCAATGTAACATAGCTCACACGAGCATGGAATTTTGTACACGACACCTGCTCTCTGATCCTGGAGTACTGGATCTTTCAGCTTAGAATATAAGAACTTAATCTTAGTGACATTATAATAAGCTAACCTGACATTCGTGCCTATGAAACAATTATTGATCTTGTGTGACAACCCCGGAATGAAAGGAAACCGGCAATATTTAATAAAATTCGACCTCCTCTCACCAACGACTCTTTGGTTCACAGTCTTTTCCTTAAATTTATTTACCGACGCAAGAATTAACGACTTTGGATAACCATTATTCCGTAACAATGCCTCAATTTTCTGATAGTTAATTTCATGGAACTCACTACTGCTCAATCTAGACATTCTATCCAATAAACCATGAATCATACCTTATTTTTGCGATAATGGGTAATAGGAACCGAATTTTAAAATCCTACCCGAACTAGTTGGTTTCATGTACCAATTTGTCCTAAGTTGGTTGTCAAATCTCTCAATCAAAATGTCTAGAAAAGGAATGCACCCATTTTGTTCAACCTCCATGGTAAACTGAATAATGTTAATTCTAATACTATTTAAATTACTATGGATGTTAATTTTAATGATGATTTACCGGATGGATTTTTTAAATACATAAGACATACATATGGAGAGCAAGTAACACAGCTAATAAAATCTTGGGCAAAACTAACATCTACACATGCTGGTTTGTTTAATAAGAGGGTTTTTCTACTCCAATGTCGCTCCAACATGGTTATCCCCAAGCATATTAATAATAATTTGAAGTGTACTTACTCCTTATCACCTGAAGACCATCCGTTTAAGAAGTGTGTAGATAAGCTCATACATTTTCATAAGTCTGTACTGAATGTGGAAATCAAAGTCACTATTTGACAGCCGCAGAAGAATAAAGAGAGGCTGGGAGATATAAAACACCAACTAAATAATCTAATACCACAGCAGTTGTTTGATAAATGTGTATTAATCAACAAGGTGAGATTTTCAAAAATTTTTGTGAGGATCAAGAAGGTTAACATGAAGAAGTTTGAAGCGTTGGTTCAACAACGTTTGGAGTCCATGAATTTACCGGATGCCAATAGATGTATTTTTAACTTCACCAACAAGGAACTCCCTAAAGAAGTATGCAGAACGTTCAGCCTTGAACCTAACTTTGGATTGCAGATTCAGAATAAGAAGGCTCTCATCCCACAAGTCATCAAGGATTTAGAGCAGTGTGTAGGTGCAGTCAAAGTAGAGGACTGTAGTGATACTGATTTGTCTGCAGCTAAGGAAAATTTAAGAGCAAGAAGCATTAACATTGTGTCTAATTTTTGCAAAATTAATGCACGTTCTGAAGATTGTTTGATGTTAAATAGAGACCTTATCGTCACAAAGAGGTTTTTGAAAGAAAATAGTGACCTGGTGGTATCAAAATCAGATAAAGGGAACTCTACGGTTTAGAGAAGAGTACGAGTGGGAGATGGGTGTTCTGATTAATGACAAAGCAACTTACCAACCGTTACATCGAGATCCAACTCTCAAATTCCAAAAAAGGGCCAATGATTTGGTGGCGGATTTGTCATCTACGGGTATTATTGACGAAGCTGAAGCGAAAATTCTTCAGTCGAACTACACTCTAGCACCACGGATTTACGGCCTGCGTAAGATATATAAGCCAACGTGTAAATTGCGTCCGGTTGTTAGTTGTGTACAATCTCCTAGTTACAAGTTGTCTCGATTTGTACATGAAATTTTGACACCAGTAGTTAAAACATTTAGATTTAATTTGCAAATTCGTTCCAATTTGTAGAATTTAGTAAAACTGTCGAGTTAGAGAATGACTATAGATTAATATCACTTGCCGTGGTTTCGTTATTCACAAATATCCGCAAGGATTTAGTTTTGAAAGTGATTAACGAGACGTGGGATAATATTAAACATTTAGTTAAAGTACCGAAAGATAAGTTGATTAAGTTGGTTGAAATTTGTTTTGAAACGAGCTATTTCAGTTTTAGGGGAACATTGTACGGTCAGGTAGAGGGTTGCAGTATGGGGAATCTGGCTAGCCCGGTGCTAGCCAACTTAGTGATGAATTACGTTTTAGAACAAATAATTTCAGTTCTTCCGTTTAACATTGCTTTTATCAAACTATATGTAGATGACACTATTGTGGCGGTCCCGGTGACTGAATTGGATAAGGTTTTAGACCTGTTTAATAGTTTCGAGGACTGTATTCAGTTTATCATGGAGGTTGAACAAAATGGGTGCATTCCTTTTCTAGACATTTTGGTTGAGAGATTTGACAACCAACTTAGGACAAATTGGTATATGAAACCAACTAGTTCGGGTAGGATTTTAAATTTCGGTTCCAATCACCCATTATCGCAAAAATTAGGTATGATTCATGGTTTATTGGATAGAATGTCTAGATTGAGCAGTAGTGAGTTCCATGAAATTAACTATCAGAAAATTGAGGCATTGTTACGGAATAATGGTTATCCAAAGTCGTTAATTCTTGCGTCGGTAAATAAATTTAAGGAAAAGACTGTGAACCAAAGAGTCGTTGGTGAGAGGAGGTCGAATTTTATTAAATATTGCCGGTTTCCTTTCATTCCGGGGTTGTCACACAAGATCAATAATTGTTTCATAGGCACGAATGTCAGGTTAGCTTATTATAATGTCACTAAGATTAAGTTCTTATATTCTAAGCTGAAAGATCCAGTACTCCAGGATCAGAGAGCAGGTGTCGTGTACAAAATTCCATGCTCGTGTGAGCTATGTTACATTGGACAAACCAAACAATATTCGAAAAATAGAATTCAGCAACATGAAAACAGTTGTCCGGATGTAAAGATCTTGGATAACAATAAAACGGCGTTGGCTTTGCATTATTTCGACTCGGGTCATAGGTTTAAGTTTGATGAGGTTAAAATCTTGGACTTAGAAAACAACTGGCACAAAAGGTCTGTGAGTGAGATGGTGTGGATTAAGCTTAATGATACGGTCAACAAGCGTACGGATACCCAAAACCTGAGTACAATATATGTATGTAGGGCATTCCATGCCAGATCGACCACTTTTGACACCGACACTTTTCGATTTTTCTGAAATTAATGTGTCTTTCTCTAAACTATTGGAAACAATTTTTAGAATTTTTTAAAATTTTTTCCAAAAAAAAAAAGAGAGTTATTTAAATAAATAACGTTTTTTTTCTTGTTAAATAACCATAGCTTTTTTGAAAATTGATTTTTTGAGATGTTTTTTTTTCGAGCTCAAAAATCTTATCGGAGTTCGATAGAACACGATTTTTTTAATTTTGAAACTGCTATAACTTTTGAATGAATCATCCGATTTTCACGTCGTTAGCGGCGATCGATGTAGTTTTATGAGCTCTATCAATAATTCGGAACAAAAAAATTGATTTGATGAAACATTTCCGAGTTTTTACAAAAAAACACTTTTTTCAATTTTTTTCGACAACGATATCTCACGAACACATCAACCGATTCTGACGCTTTCGGTGGCGATCGATGCGGCTTTTCAAGGTTAAGAACTGATTAGTTTTTGAAGTCGATCGGTTTAGCCGATTCGGAGATATTTAAAATAATGTAAAAAAAACAAATTTTTTTTCACTTTTTTTGCAATTTATCGAAATCTGCTGTTCCGAATCGGTTCCAACTCACAGGAATTCTAAGTATGGCGATGACCTTTCGATTAATACCAACTGCAATCAAACCGGTCAAGCCGTTCAGAAGTAATAAGAGGTTAACACACACACACACACACACACACACACACACACACACACACACACACACACACACACACACACACACACACACACACACACACACACACACACACACACACACACACACACACACACACACACACACGCACGCACGGCAGGTAAGATACTTGACCGTATAATCCACCAAAGAATAGAAGCAGTTGTCGATACACTCCTGGCAGACAACCAGTATGGTTTTCGGAAAGGACGATCAACCCTGGACGCAATCAACATGGTTGTTGCAACGGACGATGGCTAAACTTAACGATAAATCAACTTACTCTTGCAAAATGAAACCAGCAACCGCGTCGTTCAACCCAAGGCATTTTTGAATGTATCGCAAAGAGCAATGCATCTTCAAAATCAGTGACAATAGCTTTCCAATACTGACGGATGTCAGGTATTCTGTTCAATAACCAATCAAAAATTGCCTCGTACAAATCCGATGATTTATGGCTGCAGAGAATAAACAAAGCGAGAATTCCCTACGTAATGATGAAAATAAAAAAAGAATATTTTTAATTAATAACATTTAAATAGCAAAAATATGCCAATCAATAATAACTTACAACTTCCATGCGCCTTATGTGAAAGATCAACAATTGTGATCCTCTCGGATGTTGAGGTACACTCTGGAAAACATAAATCTTTAAAATTCTGTGAAGTTTCTAATGTTTAAAAAAATATTTTTGTCTCCAATATACCAGACAAGTATTTTATTACGCCCTAAGTATTATTAGTTTCTATACAGAGAAATTGTATTTTTTTAATTTTTACCTTAAAGGTTGCATCCAAATGTACTTCACTGCTTCTGCTTAGCCTTTCTAACATGGCGTCGGACCCAAAAATGTAACCTATCGATAAATCTGCGCCTTCTACATGCCCTTGATAAGTTGAATCGATAGGTGGAAAATCTTCCAGTAGTTCTCTGAGATCTCCGAAATCATCTGGCAATGCCGGGCGAGAAAGTCTTCGTTGGCGGTGAACATGCTGCCGTGCTGTTGGAGGGCGAATAAAACTTGCTGCATCTGGAAACCTATAAAAATGAAGTTGATGAAAATCTTAAATAATATGCTATAAAAAAGTAACAGCTAAGGAACAGATTTTTTTTAATCGCTTCATCAAAAAAATTACCAAAAGAAAAAAAATTTGTCATTAATTGACATTAGATTCACAGTTAAATTTAACAATAATTTTTGAAAATGCTTTCCACATAAACTGAATTATTTTTATTTATTAATCTTATAGCTATTGGAATTTCACTAAATAATAGATAACGAAAAATTAATGAAGTGTAATTGAATTACGTACCTCTGAAATACTTGATTTGCGATATTGTTTGGTAAATTATCATTTTCTAACGCCCTTTGTTGTAACATTCTAATCGCGGGTCTTCGAATGTGAGATGTCGGACGATGATGTTCATGAGTACCACGCAATCGGTTTTGTAAAGTCACAGGGTTTCTCCACAGAGATACAAGACACCGATAATGGGTTGACCGAGAGGCACAGACATATCTTTTATCACCACCAGGGAACCGAGGATATCGTCTATCTTTATGATATTCAAAGCCATTAAAAGTGAAGACAGTAGATCCTCTGCGTTGACCTTCAATTGCTTGCATTCCTGAGCACGCTAAAACTTATTTTAATAAAAATATTAAAAATATATATTAGTAACTTTCAATTAAATTTATTTTATAATAATATATAAATTTACTTTAGATTATTATAAAAAAGTTACTTGAAAAAAAAAAATAAACTAAAAATAAAGGAATCATCAAAGTTAACGCATCTTGGCAATTTATACATTTATTAAAGTATGAAATTAATACGAACTATCGTAAACTTACTAAATATTATTCTATTTTTATACGCTTTTTTTTTAATTTAAATTATTTACTTGATGCACCTGTATGTAGTGCGGAGACTTCACACGTGACTCGTGTCACGTGCCTACATTCAAGCTATGCGCTTAATTGTTATTTTTCTTTTTTTATTTCTTTGTTGGCTCACAGCACTAATACCAACCAGTGCTCCCAGATTGTGGGATTTTTTACTACTGCCCAAGCACTGATACCAATTGAGAACACTGATACCAACATCACTGGTAATCCGGTGTATGCAGAAGTGTATGTGTATAAATATACATACCGCCATTTTTCTTAAGGAACGGTTAGGATTGTTGAATAAAGGTAAGATTTATATTTTTTAATATAAATAATTTGTGTCATCGATGATTTTTTTTTCGGATAAAATTTTTAATTTTAGTTAAATATTTGTATTAATTAATTGTTTTGTTTTTTTTTTTTTTTCAATAGTCATGGAACCTAATCAAAATCGACAACTATTGAGGAGAAGAGGAAGAGATAAGAATAATCCGAACAAAAACAGTTTCACTGTAAAAAAATTGCACCAAGTCCATGTTCATAAAACTCATCTCAATAACATTTGCATTTTACAAAAAAAATTAGGCTCGTTTTAATAATTTTCATTCTATACAAAAAGATGTAAAACACAAAAAAATACCATAAAACCGTCATAATGTTGAAAAAATTGTAAAAAACTTTGTTAAGAATTAAAAAATTAAAAGAAAAATTTTTTATCGTACTTGGCGCGCGTCATTGGAGTACCCCAAATTTTTTCTGAAGATTTTCAACCCAAGAAAAAACGATTTTGCTTGTATGTATATAATTATATTATATATTTATATAGATTTACATTAGTCAAGGATACTGAACTCATTGAAAACGTTGCTTAGTGTATTAATTATCAGTTTTAGTGAAAAAACCCGTTTTTAAAATTTTTTTTAGATCTTTAGTGAAAACAACTGTCAATATGGTGGTGTGTTCAAGAAACCTGAAATTATATAAAATTTTTTGATTCATTTTTTTTCAGCTTCGTCATTAATCTTTAATGAAGAACCTTATGCAATATTAAAGCTTGATATTGCTTCGTTTAATTGTAATTAACACATTTTGATTGGCACTCACACCGCATTTTCCCAATGTAGTCGGCCATATGTTTTATTTTTTAGTATATAAACACAATTCTCACAATGCAACCGACCCATCGTGTGCATGCGTATCGAATTGTATGTAGTTTGCATAACTGCGTATGACATGTCGATTTTACCTAACTTTTGTAAAACTTATTATCAAATAATATATGTTCACTTACTTATAAATTTCTCAACATTAAAAAGATGTTCATTTATCCTGAAAAAATTTGGGGTACTCAATGACGCGTACCAAGTACGATAAAAAAATTTTTTTTTTAATTTTTTAATTTTCAACAAATTTTTTTTTTAATTTTTTCAACATTATGACGGTTTCTTGGTATTTTTTGTATTTCACATCTTTTTGTAGAGAATGAAAATTATTAAAACGAGCCTAATTTTTTTTGTAAAGTGCAAATATTATTGAGATGAGTTTTATGAACGTGGACTTGGCGCAAATTTTTTACAGTGAAACTGTTTTTGATCGGATTTCATATCTTTTTGTTATGTGTCATTTTTTGCTCGCCTCTACATTACGCTTGTAACTTACAGACATAGCAAGTGTGCTATGTTGTATCTAGTACACCGTCGACCGTTGATTCTATGTACAGTGTGTGTAAAAGAAATGCCAAATCTTTTATTTGCTTTGAATGAGTGATCAAATAATCAAAAAAATTAATTAAAAAAAAAAGTTATAGCCATGCTTTTTACGCGCATTTAAATTATGGCATTACACCTGAATATCATCATATCTGAAGGTACCCATATTAGTAGTGTAAATTTTAGAGCTCAAATCCTGATAAAAACATTAAAGTTTTCTTTTCTCATAGTAGCTAGTAGCATTAAAAAATTTAAAGTTACTAATCCACATAAACGCCTCCGTTTTAAATTGGTAGACTAAATTATCGATGAAAATTATACATTTCTTACATTTAAAAAGAAAATTTTAAAATTTTTGTAATAAACAAAATTTTTCAATTTAGATTTAATACTGCAATACACATGAATTTAATAAAAATAACAATAATTTTAGTAATAATAATAATAATAATAAGTATTATTATTGCTATTATTGTTTACATCAATTTATTATTACCGATACTATTACTTTTCAATATTATACTTACTATTATTGTTATTATTATTATGATTATCAATATTATTTATTGTTATTATGATATTGTTGTTAGTATGTAACACAATGTATCAAACACATAGTTATGTTTCGTATTATCAAGAGATTAAGATTATTTGAAACCCGCTCAATTGACGACCGTGCCATCTACAGGCAATAACCATGAGATTATAGAATGTACACTATTTTCAATGAGAATTCCCAAGACACTGAACAGCTGGTTTATTCGAAGAAAGTAGAACTCAAACAATGTTTAGTCTGTTGTGTATTTAGACTGGTTAATAAAGAAAATTAATTAAAAAAATATTTTTCAAACACACACATGAAAGATTGTATGATAATTTAATATATAAAATTTTTTTTTTTGTATTCATAAAATACTTGTACATTTTAAACTTAAAATTTGAACTTTTCCCGCGCAATATTAAAAATTCATAAATGAATGAATTTTTTCTTCGAAAGTTATAATCATATAAAAGGTCGTTAGTTCTTTGATTTTAAAGCTGAATTCTGGATAAAAAAAATAAAGTGACAAGCATATTATACTATTTCTTTTAAAAGAATATTTATGGTTCAGTTTGGTATTATCATAAAGGTCTTGATAAGAATGAATGACTTTTAAGTTTACAATATTTTACTTCAAATTTTCGGAAGAGTGTTTAATAGTTTTCTAATTCGATAAATTTGGTCGGTCACATTTGTCGATCGAATTATTTGTAATTAATCTAGTGATAGCACTGTTATAATTAATAATTTATTTATAAAGTACCCAATTTTATGTCCAGTGTGATTTCAAATATAAAAAAAATCATTCAGCTGAAGTTTTTTATTCATAATTCATAAATCTCGTTGGTCGCATATTAACTGCAGTAATTTATTAATACGTGTAATAAAGAGTATTTACTACTATTACCATTATATAAAACATCATATAAATAAGAAATCCAAATAAATTTGAAAAAAAATTTACAACCTCAAAATACCGTTCTGCTTACGGTAAATACACACTCGGTTTTTTATAGGTTGTATCAATTTTTTTTTAGTTTTTTACAATGATTTTATTTTTTCTTAACAATAATAGTTTAATTTTTTCTCTACTATTTCTATAAGGCGTGTAGAACTAGAATTACAGAATTAACCCTGAAAAAATGTTTGAACTCGCGCATCGCTACAAGTAGTGTCACCTGCTGGACGCAACCCAAAGCATTACATAGTTAACTCGTGGTTCGCCCCTAGATATCTAGTCTGCGGCGCAAACTATCCCCTTGAAGCTACAGTTTATGTAGATATAATTACAGTGCACCCTGGCGGCCGTAAATGTAAGCTGTGAATACTTTTTTTAACTGTAGTTGCGTATCTATAGGAGGAATACTACATATTTTTATTTTATCTAGTCTGTGGCGCTGACTTTACTCCATCGAAAAAAAGTCAGGATCGAAAAATGTGAGCGCGCTATAGTATGTGCTGATAAAATTTAATAATTTCAAGTAAATAAATTGTTATAAGTGAATATAAATGAATTAATACGGTAAAATTACCCTAAATTACCATTACCCACTGTTATAATATACAAATTAGTGAAAAAATGTACCGTATAATTAAATAAAATTATACAACCTCAAAAAACCGTTCTGCTTACTGTGGTAGTTTTCCAAAAAAATATGATAGTTAAATATAATTTGTGTTATTGTATATATTTAATTTTATTGCAATAATAATTATTTATCAACAATAATAAAATACACTTACAATTGTCAAAAATAATAACTTTGATAGATAATAAGATAAACATTAATTATACCAACTCAATACAAAAAAAATACTTTTAATTTTATGTAGACTCGTTGGTAACTCTCACGCATAACATCCCTGAGCAAAGGTTTTTTGAGTGTCCAACTGTGCGAAGCGTTGCTGTTATTGGAATACTCTAAGCTGCGCACAATGCCGCATTATGCGCTCTAGTGCTGTAGTTGGAAAACTACCTGTAAATACATTCGATAGCCTGGCGCTCCGTTTGCAACGGGATTTTTGAACGGAACTTGGCGCCAGATTCTACCGAATCTGTAGATGTTCGTAACACGCGGTAAGAATTATTTTTAATTAATTAGATAAGGATAGCCTAAATAAACATTTTGACTTTTAAATAAAAATTTAAAATTTCATTAAAATATTAAAAAAAAGTAATTATAAAAATATTCATTTTACTTTATGATACTGAAGTCGGCTGACATCAGATGATTTGTTTTTATTTTTTTAAACAAATAATATTTAAATAATATTTTTCTAAAAAATTCTACTTGTAGATGTCAAAAAAATTTATTGTTGCCTTTTTTAAATGTTTCTTTAAATAGTAATTTATTTTTTGTGAAAATCCAAAAAAATCACAGTTGTCAGCTAACTTCAGCTTCATTTCAAGTTTGGTAGTTACAATATGTTTTTTCTCGTGATTTTTTTTTTTTTTTGATGTAGCTTAATAATGTAATTTTTTTCTTTTCATTGTTCAGGTGACAAAACCGACGCAGAACATTTTTTGAAAAAAAAAAGACAAGAATGGAAATACCCAAAACATTTTTAGAAATTGGTGCTGTTTTTAAAAAAATGAAAGGCATAAAACATTTTTATTTTGGACGTACTTTTGGATCTGATGGATCTATTATAAATATTTTCACGACTGAATCATTGCTTTATCAGATGGAAAATGCGAGTGAATTATTTATTGAATCGACAGTGCAGGAAATCATAAAAATTTTAATTATTTAATACTAACAATTACCTCTTAATGTATTCATAATTGGTAAATATAAATTATCTTTTGTTTGTAGTGTGTCATTAAATGTCCGAAAGCATCACACGTCATAAAGTTTCTTTTGAGACATGGAAAGCAGGTGAACTTCTCTCAGTCATTTATCTTTTTAATAATAAAATGGTCTCTTTTGTTCGTTAAACGTGATTTTGTTTTTTTTTTTTACAGGGTGTTCCAGCATGTATTGCACTCTGTAGCAGCAACTCAGATGAATTATTTAAAACTACTTTAAATTTCCTGATTAACCACCCTCCAGGAATGAAAAACAATTTACAAACTGTTTTTGCTGATGTTAGTGATGCAACAATATCTGCAATAAATGAAGTGATGCCGTGGGTATTACAAAAAATTTCTTGGTTCAATTTTACCCGTGTAAGTTTTTCATTCTTTTACTTGTATTTATATAACAAAAAGAAGTTTTATTTAAAAATTAAAACTAAAATCTATTTTTTTTTTTATATTTATAGACGATTACTCAAAAGTGAGAGTCATTACAGCTTCCCAAACGCAATGATGAATTGTATGTGTTACTAAGGCTAGTTTGGACACTGCCAACAGTAAGTGTTGACAGTTATGATGCAGCAGTAATGCCTATAATAAATGAATTAAAAAAAAATGTACTGTCCAACTCAAATTCAGAAACTTTCTTGTCATATTTAATGAATGTTTGGTTTTCATACCCTGAAAAAGTTTTAACATGGAATATTTTATGGGACCAACAATGGATTGTTGAATTTTTTAATCAAAATTTATCGAGGGTCTTAAATTATTTACAAAATCAGACACTGAAGCAATTTATTAGTAAGTTTATCCATCTAGTTATTTTATAATGTTTAAGAAATTTATTAGGTGGCGAATAAATCTGTATCACAGAATTTTCAATTTTAGCTAATATTCCGGTAATGTTGAAAGAAACGATAAAAACTCTAAGCCAGCCGGAATTTACTGAAAACCGATCTCAAGTAACAGCGGATGAAATTCCTAAAAAAATCGTACAGTTCATTCACAAGTTACATAATCAAATTTCTGATGAAAAGTAAGTTAACGATATTTTTTGGATATGGATTTTTCTTATTGCTAATATTTATTACTATTTTACAGATTATCAATAAAGTTTTTCTATGATGGAATGATAAAAAATACTTTAATTCAAGACACCATCGAAATTGCTAGTTCAAGGCGTCCAAGTGTTCAAATCCAAAGTGACATTGTTAATGAACGGACTCAAATGTCTAGTAATATTGGAAACAATGTGGTAGCTGTTGAATCAGTAATATCAAGTCAGTTACGTAGCGAATCGACCACCTCTCTTGAAACCGGTAATTCTCTTCTTTTAAAAAAAACGAGATACTTTTCTCCAGAATATCGATTATTCATGCCAATAACAATTACTTTTGTTTTTATTCATTACATGATGTTTTCAGTAATAATGATGTATTTATTTTATTCGTATATTAACTTTTTCTATTTTCCTTAATAAATATTTTAAATGACTGTTTAAAATGTTTAGGCTCTACTAATAATAATAGCATAAACGAGAATCCAAGTATTGTTATTCATGATGATGATTCGGAAACAGAAGAGCCTGGATCAAGTATGAATACCACGTTAGATGATGAGATAATTGTTATTTCAGACGACGGAGTAACGGAAAATAATTTCACTGAGAGATAAAACAGTGACATTGAAGTTCCAAGTCGTAGGTTTATTCATTAATTATTATTAAAATAGAATTTTTCATTCATGAATTGATAAATTTTATTATTTACAGTCGACACGGTAATCGCAATGGATGAATTTCCGACATTAATAAGAGAAAGATTGGAATTGATGGTTTTTGATGACTTAAAGGCAACAAGTACGTCAAAAATATGCAGTTCTTGTCTGTGCAATCAACCTCGAGCGATTTTTTGGCCTTGCGGACACAGGTGTCTGTGTTTACGGTGTAAATAGGGATTCGAGTTACTCAGGAAAGAAGAGGATTTCACATTAAAATGCATCGTATGCAACAGTCCATCATCATCATTAATGATATTATACTAAATATCAAAGTAATTTAGTATTAATTGTCGTATGTATCTTAATATATTTTGTTCGTATGAGTTTTTTATTTAACTGAATAATTCCTGAACGGTTAAAATAATTAAAAAATACTTAATAGTTCTTAACGAACTTTTTTATTATAGATTTAAATATTGATGTGTTCATTTAATGTTTTAAAATATTTATATTACAAATAATAAGAGATAATAAGTAAGATTAAGATTATCATAAAATTATATAATTTATTATTATATTCAATTAATATTTTTCGTTCATATTTAGAAAAAATAAAAATTTTTTATAATACAAAAATTCGTATAAAACAAATTTTGTAAAATTACTCTCGCAGGTCAGGAATTTTTCAATAATGTTGAAAAATTTAACAAATATAAATAATGCTGTGAAGCGGGAAAGAATAGAAGTTACGGATAATTATTACGTGAAGCGTAAT